ATTAACCAATAAAATTTTATGATATCACGGGATGATCTACAAAAATTGGCCAATCGGAATGAAAGCCCGCTATGCTGGCCTCCATTTTTGCAAATGAGTATATTTTTTGAATGCAAATCATGGTGTATTAATCCGTGTTCATGAATTTGTGCCAATCTGCATAGCAAATGGTTAACTGATTTTATCTGTTAACGTTAAATTATGAATAAAATTATTTATTACATACCCGATAACAATTGACCGTAATATTGTGAGTTTTTTTTGCCATAAAATATCCTTATAACTTTTTGACAAGCTATCAAACAAGTTTCCACCTTCAGCCTATTCCATTACTATAAAAATTTTATTTGAATCTAAATCTCGCGTAAGGCCATAATATTGCAAAATACCGTCATCTGAATGTGTGATTTCAAACGAAACTACCTATAATAAATAAATAAATAATAAATGAATAAAAAGTAAATGAATAAAAAGTAAATGAATAAAAAGTAAATGAATAAAAAGTAAATGAATTGAACAAAATAGATGCATTTACTTCATTTACAACATCTATAGAATAACCTTTTGAAGATTTTAAATATTTGAGAGCGACTTTTCTCTTTTCTCCTAAATCATTTGCCCAATTAGCTTGAAATATCTCACCAAATCCACCTCCGCTTAAATGTCTAATATCCTGAAGTAAATTATAATGTATGAATGGTATATCACCCTTAGATTCATTATGACCGTTAATGATTCTTTTAACGATTGCAAAATTTAACGCAGCATCGGCAAAATCGGGTCTGATATGTAGTGATTTTTCAAGATCAGAATATGATTTACCATATTCACCCATCAATTTATATAAAACGCCCCGGGTACATAATGTCAAAAAACAATTTGGATTTATTTCCAGCACTATGTTGGCGTCCGTGAGTGCCTTATCAATTTGACCTAATTCTTTATAGCATCTCGCACGTCTTCCTAACAAGAATACATCATTTTGTTTTATCTCCAGTGACTTATTAATATCTAAAAGTGCCTCTTCAAATTTGCCTAAAGCTGCATAAATTTCAAAACGTCCTAATAAGAGGTGAAAATCATTTGGTGCCAATACCAACAGTTTATTAAAATCTGAAAGTGCCTCCTCAAATCTACCAGTTCTGCTGTATGCCGATGCACGATTATATAATAATGATGGATCCTGAGAATTATCTAACTTCCGAAGCCTGTCATAATCTGAAATCGCCTCTTTAGCTTTGTCCAGCGCTAAGTAAGTTTCTCCACGATCAGTTAATGCGTAGATGTTATCCGGGTCTAATTCTAATGATCTATTAAAATCAGAAAGTGCTTTTTCACAATTGTTTGACTTTTTGTAAGCTTCTCCGCGACGTATTAATGCACTTACATTATTTGGATCTGCATTCAGCAAGCAATTGAAATCCTTTATAGCATCATCGCATTTATCCAATATTACATAAATTGCTCCACGTTCATATAATACTTCTAAATTGTCCGATTTAATCTTAAATGATTTATTGTAATCTGAAAGCGCTTCATCAAACTTTCCTAATAATTTATAAGTTTTTGCACGCTTGATTAATGCTTCTAAGTTTTCAGGCCAAATTTCCAAGTATTCGCTAATATCTGATAGTGCTTCATCATATTAATGCAATATAAGATATGCACTTCCACGATTCATCAATGTAAAAGTATCACAATATTTTGTTTTAAGAGACTTATCGAGATCAAAAGTTGCTTCAGCATAATTAGACAACATTAAATATGTTATTCCACGATATACCAACGCATCAGAATTATCTGCCTTTATTTCCAGTGACTTATTTAGATTTGAAAGAGCATTTTTGTATTCACCTAAGTTTATATAGATCGCTCCACTAAGTGCTAATGCATATGCATCGTCGGGTTTTATTTTTAGTATTTTATCAAAATCCAAAAGTGCAGCATTATAATTACCTAAAATAGAATGATATCTGCCACGCAATTTTAATACAGAAGTGCTATTAGGTTTTATTTTCAACATCCTATTTAATTCAGATATTGATTCGTCATATTTGCCCATACATGCATTGGTTATGGCACGATTAATTAACAAATCAACGTCATATGGCTTTATTTCCAGCAATTTATTAAAATCTGAAATTGCTTCGACATATCTACCCATCTTCAAATAGCTTTCCGCACGAATAATTAAAACATCGGTATCACCTGGCTTTAATTCCAGTAATTTGTTAAAAGCTAAAAGTGCTTCAGCATATTTTTTCAACGATACATAAGTTTTTCCAAGATCTTTTAATGACTCATAATTATCTGATTCTATTCCTAACGACTTATTGAAATCAGTAAGCGTTTTATGATCGTCATTCAGCCGATGATAAGTTATTACGCGGGCGCTTAGTGCAGCAGAATTTTTGGGATCAATTTCCAGTGAACTATTGAGGTCTGAGAGTGCTTTATAATAATTATCCAAAAACATATAAGTTTCTCCTCGATTTGCTAATACCCAAGCGTCATTTGATTCAATTTCCAGCGATCTATTGAAATATAGAAGTGCCTTATGATAATTTCCCACATTCTTATAAAATTCTCCGATGTTATTTAATGAATAACGATATTGCTTATTAGAATCTGAAAACATTTTATCATATTCGCTACAAATTTCTTTATATAATTTTGGTGCTAAAGCATTTTTGAGTTTTAAGAATTTATTAAGGTCCGAAATTGCTTCGTTATGTTTGTTCAATATTTTATAGGTCATTCCTCGATGCTTTAATGCAAAAGCGCTATCTGACTTTAACTCTAGAGACCTATTAAGATCAGAGAGTGCTTCTGAATATTTGTTCAATATTATATACGTTACTCCTCGATTTCTTAATGAAAAGGCATCGTCTGGTTCTGTTTTCAATACTTCATTAAAATCTGAAAGTGCCTCGTTATATTTTCCCAATAACCTATAAGTTCTTCCACGATTTCTTAACGAAAAGGCATCTTCAGGCTTAGTTTTCAATACATTATTAAAATCCAAAAGTGCCTCATTATATCTTTTTAATAACCTATATACTCTTCCACGACACCTTAACGTCAAAGAGTTATCCGGTTTTATTTTCAATGATCTATTAAGGTCACAAAGCGCTTTATCATATTTTCCTAATGCTATAAATGTTGATCCACGTCTCCGTAAAATAAGTGCATTATCACGTTCAAGCTTTATTGCTTCATTAAGATCATCAAGAGATTCACGATATTTACGTAGACAATAGTAAATAATTCCACGTTCTGCTAAAGCTGCCACATTATTTGGTTTTATTTCCAAATATCTATGAAAATCTAGAAGTGCATCATTATGTTTACCCAAAATTCTGCAAGTTTCTCCATAAATCATTAATGTATACTCATTGCCCGGTTCTATTTCCAGCGATTTCTTGAAATTTGTAAGTGCTTCCTCAAATTTGCCCAATTTTTTATAAATTTCTCCACAAACCCTCAATGTACATGAATCTGGTTCTATTTCTAGTGATCGTCTGAGATATACGAGAGCTTCTTCATATTTATCCAACCTCTTACAAGTTTCACCACGTATCCTTAATGTATATACATTATCAGGTTCTAGTTCCAATGACCGGCTGAAATCTTCGAGCGCTTCTTTATATTTACCCAACCTTTTATAAATTACACCACGCACCATTAAAATATACGCATTATTGTTATACAATTCTTTCATACAAGTTTCGTGATTGACACGAGTCATTAATTTATATGTATTATCGGGTTTTATTTCCAGTGAACTAGTTAGATCAAAAAGCGCATCTTCATATTTATCTAATTTTTGGTAGATCTCTCCACGAATTATTAATGCATATACATTGTTTGGTTCTATTTTCAACGACTTGATAAGATCTTGAAGCGCATCTTCATACTTGCCTAATCTTAAATAGGTTATCCCACGATTTACCAATGCATAAAAATCATTAGGTTCAATATCTAATAATTTATTTAAATTCACAAGTGTTTCATTATAATTTCCTTGTTTTGCAAAAATTTCGGCACCTTTACGCAATATTATAGAAACATTTGAATTAGAAGGCGTATGATAAGTGTGTGTAAGTATAGGTATCTCAGGTAGGGCTACAAATTTTGTTCCAATAGGAAAAAGATCCTCGATGGTTTGAGCATTTTCTTGACTTTTAGCATTGTTATTGTTAATAATCATTTTTGTGTTTAAATGATATTAATCATCTTATGAAATCAAGAAAAAAACGATTGTCACCAAATGAAAACCAGGAAGTTAAATATTTATTATTCGGAGCGTAGCGGAGGACGTTTATGTTTAGCCAAAGTGATACAATAGTTACGTATTGTTATATAAAATAGTTACATAATCAAACCGAAAATTTGTAACTTGGTGTTTGTTCGCGCAACACATTTGGTTTTTGATTCACTTTTTATTTTGTACTTCAGTGTAACAAAACATTAAGCTTCGGACATACAATTCTGTGCATTAACCTAGTAATAATCGGATCTACTAATTTTCCCCACCAGGATTTCATTAGTAAAAATTTGAGTAATTTTGGCTTAAATTTTTTAAATTTTTGATCGCCGTTGACCAATCAAAATCGAGGATTATCCGCGCATTTTTTGTGCGGCGTTTAATATTTTTTTTGAGTCCTGTGAGAGTCATATTCGTGGAACTCATTTTAAAATTCGTGTATTTCCCTCTCCCTTTTATAAATCAAAGAGGAAATACTTATTTTGCGACCTAAAAAAAGGAAATCCAACGTAAAAATAAATTTAGTTCATGAAATTAAAAATTTAGGGTTCGGACGTTAAAGTTGTTACTGGCAAAACCACGTGCACGAAAGAATCTAAGAATCATGCAGAACTCTGCACGTTGGGAGTACGAAATCGTTACGCAAGCGCCGTCGTACTGCAGTGCCCCGGGACCCGAAATTCCACCACGACGATCATATGCAAGAAACCTGCTCAAGCCAAGTCCTCTATAATGAAGCATTTAAACGTTGATCGTATGAAAGCCAAGCCCCATCAACGATCCCATTGAAGCAGAAGACACTTACCCGATTCGGTATGACAGCTGTCAAGGTAATATTACCTTGTTG